ATTTTCAGCCTTGTATTTAGGATTTTGCGCATCGGATGATTTCTTCTATGTTTCCATGTAATCAAAATTTCACACTGAAATTTAAATTTTAAAATTCAATTCTAATTATTAAATATCTCATCTTTCTTTTAAAATAAATCATAACACCTGTTAAATAAAGATGTTAAATCGATTTTCAGCAGGAGTTTATAATTGCAAATGAATGTATAAAGACATTCCTGGACTTTAAAGTACTGGTTTTGAGAAAAAAGAAAACAAAAAATGGAAAATTTAGTGAGACGTTTTTCAGTCTTATGTGATGAGACCCGAGGGGAAACTCATACGGTGTGATTTAATCCTCCGGTGCACAGCTAAACCTCAACTACACGGTGAGAAAAAAAAAAGTATGGAAACACGGTGAGAAAACACTTAAAATTAATTCAATCTAATTATTAAATATCTAAAATCTTTCTTTTAAAATAAATCATAACATCTGTTAAATAAAGATAAAAAGTTAAAAAATAATGGAGCTAATAAGAAACTAAAACAATAACCTTTATGCCTAACTAAACTAAAACAATAACCTTATGTTTTCGAGCAGTTGGTGAAGAATTAGCATCTTTCTAACAACGACAAGGAAAAGTGACCTGTAATGGGTAAACTTGTGCTTGCCAAGGCTCGTGTACAATGACCCGGAAAACTTCTCTCTCCCAAACACCAACAAGTCTTACCTCAACCCATTTGTGCAACGCCACAACAGCACCGAAAAAAAACAAACAGATACCAGCTCACGGCAAAAAGGCCAAATAACAATGCCTTGCAAATATTTTTGCAAAAAAGAAAGGTGGGGGACAAGCGACAGTCCCTGTCCTGGTAGCATTTGGTACATTTTTTTTCCCCTGGATAAGGCAAATTTTTGCATTTAAAAAAACGGTAAAACTGCGCCGTCCCCTCTTTTTTTAATCCACGAACTGCGCGACGTTTCCCTGTCCCCCATTCTTTCCAAGAAGATTGGGTGCTATAAAAGTCGTTTATCGCCATTAATGGGACATTCTATTGAGACTGCAAGCCTTTATTTCGTTTTAACAATATTGTAAAAATTGTGCATGTAAAACAAATATTAATTTAAAGTCTGGCGTGTGCTAAAAAATAAATTTCTTTTACACTCATTTTAAGTTTATGATGTTAAAAGAATGATAAGCCAGATCTTTTTTATTCTCTGTAAGAATTAAAACTTTCCAAATTCTAGATTTTAGTCGCGATATATATATTAGTTTTGAATAGTTAAATTGATAGATAATGACGCCGTACACAAAACTGATACATAATCAGCGTATCAAATATCGGATTTGTAGCTCACCTTAAATAAGTTTCTTGTCTAGATAAATATTAAGAAATATTCTTAGATAGAGAAGGTTTTAACTTTCATATTTACCATTTTAAGTAAAACAGTTCTAATTTAATTATAAAAATTATCTTTATTAAATCTAAAAATTGGACTTCTTAAGTCGTTCTAAATTCACACTAATATTATTGCAATATATTCCCGTATTAAGCTTTCCATTTTTAATCATTGAAGCTATTTTAAGGTTATTTAACTTTGTTACAAATTCCATATTTTAATACTAGAAACGTTTAAATATTTATTCTGTTTTCCACCTGATGTACGTTGGCATGCATTTAATGTCTAATACACATGTAATTAATAAATTGATAATTATGAGCGTCATCAGAATTTTTATAATTAACGAAAAAAAAAAAAAAAAAAAGAAAAGAAAAAATCAAACTCCCTTATATTCATATCCTGGGATTTTCAGTCTCCCTTTTAATCCATTCCTTTTTCACATATTGTTGCAATGTACTCAAGTTTTCATGTATGTAAAATTTATATAATTTGTATTGTATTTACGCCAATTTATAATTAAATGATAAGTTTTACAAATTCTTGCTTCATAACTCTAGTTAACAGAAGATGTTTCTAACACCTTGGCAAAGCTTAATCTTCAGCATGTAGCTTATTTTCTAATCTAGTTTCAGGCTGAATTATTTGTAAAATTTAGTTACTTGAAATTATTGTTAACAAAGATGGTCGCTAAATCACGCTAATAATATTTCTAACTGTGTGTAATTTATAATGCAACGAGTTCATACGATTTATAATATAATTCATTTATAATTTTTTCAGCAGTATTGAAATTAATAGCAGATACTGATAATGTTATACATTTAGATTACAATGATTTAGATTGCCATTGCCTTCTTCACTCATGCTTTTATGCTACTTCCTAATATTTCATAATGGCATACAGGTAAGTTTAACTTGTTCATTAAACATGTAAATCTCTAATTCAGCCCACTTTTGTTCTTACGTGTGCTGTATCTTCTATTTTCTTTAGTACATTGTTCAAGCCTAATTTCAAAAGGTCTTATGATCAGAGCGGAAAAGTCACTAAACATTGGTAGTTCGACCCGAATTTCCTGGTCCCAGATGAATCCCCTAGCTCTTTCTTTTTTTGTACGTATTTGCTGTAAAATTAACATAGTAAAAATTTCAGTTCATGAAGCAAAAATATTTTTTAAATTTATTCTTTAAAAATATTGCAAAAACTTTTTCACCTTAGAATATCTTTTTACAAATCCCTTTAATTAGAAACACTTTAATAAGAAAAAATAAGGAAAGAAATTAACTTGGTTTCGGTGATTGATATCTCAGTGCAAATTATGTGTAACTTTTTCCAAAAGCATAGAGTTTAATATATGGATATCAATAAATTATGGATTATTTCTCATCTAATTTTCTTAACATTTTTATTCCAGAATTTTTCTTTCACACTGTAGTGTTTAACTTTATGCGTTTTGTATAATTATTAACATTTGTTTATAATTTTACGCGAATGAAAGTGATTATTTAATTGTATAAGCTTTGCTGAAAGATAAACGAGAAAACAAAATTCTGTCACTTGCGGTCAAGAGAGTATTTGATGTAATAATTCTTATGTATTTTCTTTCATAGTTTTTATTTAATTTCTTTCATTTATGCATTACTACATAGTTCTTTTCAAAAAATATTTTTCTGTGCCGCTATGTCCGTATTTCAGTTTCAAGGAATGCGTGCTCCGTGTAGGGTATATAATGCTTAATAAACTTATGATATGAAAGATATCTAAATTCTCATTTCTACTGTATTTTTTAAATTTCAACCCCTAAGAAATTTACTCTAGAAATCGTTTTCATGATTTAATATTTTATATTTATTTATTTATTTTATTCATACTTTAGCATTTTCTTTAAGGTTATCCTTTATCATGCTAACCTGTTTTTAAATATTTTTCTCAGCAAATATTCAGAAGCAAATATATTTTTCACCAAGATAGTCAAAGAATCGTTCGGAACTGATTGAAAATTTAGCTATTTAAGTAATATACACTGACTTCCGGTTGTAGGGGTGAAAAAGATCAGAGCCAATAGTTGTGCTAATGAAGAATGCTTGTAGCCCCACATGTTGTTACAAAGATGAATTTAATGCCTGCAAGAGTATTACGAAAGTCCTCTGAAAATTTCTTTTGTGTTACAGAGCAATTAACAAAAGTAAATCTAAAGTGATGTATAAAAGAAATTAAACAAACAAAAAAGAAACGATTTTTCACAGACAGTTCAGTGTTTCTCATCAATTAATTCAGTTCTTACTTCACGACAAGGCAAAAATACATAAAAACTCAAAATATCTGTATTAATTACGAAGTAAATTTTAAACACTTATTTCCTGGAATAAATTCCAAAACGGATTAAGCATGACTTAATTCGCAATAATAATAAAAGAAGGCGTTACTTTGTTGTTGCCGAAGCATAGTTTCTCTAGATTGGCAACAAATCCACCATTCATTTATAAAAATTATATTTCTTTATTTTTATTTTTCTCTTGGCTACAGTTGGCTTCGAAAAATAAAATTGTAACCTTGTAGGCAACGGGGGAAGAAATTTTGATTGGCGCAGTTGGACTTTAGCAGAACAAGGGGGTAATTTTCATCAGCGCAGTTGGAGTACACCTAAAAAACAGCTCAGTGTCGGTCGGCTGGTCGGCGCCCGCCTGCAAAAAAGGCCTTGCAGGGGCCCGCTTCCGCTGGCCCTGGTTACACATATCTTTGGAAAACAGTCGGATTTTAACTTGCGTCTCTAAATTATTATTTATTTTTTAATAAATTTCGATATGCTAATGATTTTCATATTACATTACCATAATTTCTACAATTTGAACAGGAAAACAAAACCTACGCATTAAATTAGATGGGAAATTTCTATTCCACATTCAAAACATCTCCACTGGCGTTGTTTAGCGACGGGTACATTATCCCTTTACCAATTTAATTATAGCTATTATGACCGAAATTAGCAAATATTTAGGTTATTGTACACAAGAACTTCACTTTATTTGCATATTAAGAAAACATTTGAGAACATATAAACTCTAAATGGAGGAGTAAATTATATTATACTTTCTGGGCAAAGTTGAGTACCTGAACCAGGTTTCCAATTATCGCTTCGGCAATTATTTACCAAATTTTTTCTTTTTTCTTCATTTTAGGAAATTTTACCAAAATATGACCTTTCCGTGAATGAAACCAGCATTTAATAGTTGCACATCCGCCCATTTCACACAAAAAAGGACAAGAAGTTGTTGCACCGCTAACTATGCAGCCGCCATTAATATTCCCACTTGGGCTTGCGAATGGCGGATAATTCAGCTTGGTAAATAGGAGCTCTAGAAGTCCGTTCCTGGATGTTCCTCTTCTCGCGACTAATGGCATCTCCTCTTTTTTGTTGAGGAATGCTTTTCAAGTTGTACTTTTATTGGCAGAAGAACATATAAGTTAATTTTCTTGCAAACTCTAGAAGTTGAATAAATAGTCTAGCCTTTTAAGTAAAAATAATGTTATATTGATATTAAAAAGGATGTGTCCTACCTATATTTTTGTTTTCGTCCTGTAGCTTCTCTTATTTGGGTTAAAAGACTGATTAATTAGATGCACTAAAAAGACTGTTCTGCTAGCTTCCAATTTTTGTCAGATGCAAATAAAGCTTATGTTGAAGTTTAATGTAAGAATGTCGCCATCTACGGTGTAATGAGTTTGAGGAAAGTTTTTTTTTAATTTTTACCAAGCGAATGAATTTTTGAAACAGTTTCTTAAATTACTATCAAGTATGCAGTCGGCGGAGAAAGCTAAAGGTGAAATTACATACAGTCGGTATAAATTTGTATCGTGAGTTTTTTTAATCCTATCATATGATAAAATCTGTATGTACCGAAGTTATTGTAAGGTGGAAATCTGCCGAATGCTTGAAATGTCCTGAATTTACTAAATTATAGATACGTAAGAATGTGTGCATAAGATTCTAATAAGATTAACTTATAATTTATTTTTTAGTAAAACTATTATGCATCTTTAGGATAAAAAATAAATAAATAGGAATTTTTTAATAAAGTGTATAGAATGATGTATGTTCAAAAAGAAAAGACTTTGTGGTAAAGTGCAGAATCGCCCACTTATTTGTTTGGCGCATTTTACAAGGGTAAAAAAATTAGATTTTTGACAAATTTCTTTTACTTTTTAGGTGAAAATAGGTCCATGTGTACATAGAAAAAGTCAAGGAAGTGCGCAGTGTCATTTTTGTGCAATTCTGGGATTTTTTTTTTAAGTGAAAATTGGTCGATGTGTACCGACATAACTAATTTATAGTTTTTGTTTTGCATTCATTGATGCCAAAAAGGCCTAGCTTTTACAAGAAAGTGGTTGAAAGCATAACAGAATATTAACAGTTTTTATTGCTACTTCTGGGTATGCTTTTTGTCATTGAAAACTTCAGAAATGACAGTTTGTCTTATTGTATTTGTTTTATTCACTTTGAGCGAAGTTTTGAAATTGCTGTTCTTTCTTCAGAAGTAGGTCAGTTGTGAATCCTGGGTAGATAATGTTAAAGGTTGTTAATCTAACCATACATGAGAATTGTGATAGAGAGGAAATATTTTGCATTGTTATTCTGAAGAGCTAGGAACTAATTTAAAATCATTTTAAATGATTTAACCTCATCTGGTACATACAAAAGCTTCTAGTAGATCTTGCGTTTCACTGTTCTTCAAAATATTACGCATGGAACTTGTTCATTCTCACTTTTATTGCTGTTAGATTATGTCCCAGCTCTCCTTTTAATTAAGAGCATATCGGTATTTAATTAAAATATTTTAAGTATATTTGCCGGCAAAATATTTTGCCGCTGAATATAATATTATTCAGCAGCAAAATTAATATGATATTGCTTAGGGGGAAAACTCAGATAAGTGGCATTTGGTGCAATTTTTTCCTCCATCTTGAATCGTAAAAAATCGCCATATCCTCAGGAGGAATTTTTTGATGCCAAGAGGGAAATGGCATCAAAAGGCACTTTTCAAAATTTCTTCGGCTGATCTGTGGAATATGGTAACTGGTAGTTTGGCGACATTTTGGAGGCGATAAAGGTTACTACCTAGGACTTTGGTAATAATGTGAGAAGCACTCAGTTCCGATTACGCATTATTTTGTGTGAGGGAAATGAGAGATCATGAGATATGTCATGTGATATTAATGGACGAATTACAGTTGTTTAATCAGTAAAGGGGGGAAATCTGGAAATTTCGTATTTAGCTATATTCTGTGTTGTGTGAAACGTGACATTAATGGACGAATTACAGTTCTTTAATCGGAAAAGGGGGTTAATTTGGAAAAGCTTCATTGTGTGTGTGTGTGAAAATAGTGTTGATTAATTTCGGATTGCATGGCGCTATGTAAAGTGAATTCTAAATTTTTAATGCGTTTATCTGATAATAATAATAATAAGTTGAGATTGTGTGAAAGGAAGGAATTACAAAGTTTAAAGTTAAGGCAGTGCAAGAAAATATGGTGAAAATGGACATTTGTGAAAAGGAATGTAAGGAAGGGACGTGGTTTGTTGAAAGTAGTTTGAGTATAGGTGAAATTTATAATTTCTTATTACTTGGTGAATAGACTTCCAGTTGACTACTGGATTTAGGATTTAGAAATTAGCAGTAGTACTGCAGCGACGTAATGAATATTCTGAAGAAGATTAGGTAAGTTAGTATTTTTATCATTTGAGGATATTATTTTTATGCATTGTTCTAAATGTAAAGAGTAAATAAAATTAAAATGGTATTATTTGAAAATTGCTATTAGCAATGATTTAGTTTAAAGTAATTAGGATTTGTAGTCTATTTTTATTAATTTAATGTATGTGCTTATTTATATTTTAAGTAGTGTTTTTAATTTAATTATATTTTAATTAATGATCGTGATTTTGTGAGTTATATGTTTGTAGTATTTGGAAATGTTTGAGTAGTATACGTTGAGTATTTTCATGCATTTCGTGAAATTTTTCTAATTTATGAGGGAAACGCAGTGTACATGGAAGTGAAAGTATGCGCAATGCCATTTTGTGCAATTCTGGGATGTTTTTTAAGTAAAATAAGTCGACGTGTACATGATTTTAGTGATATTTTAATTAAATGATAGTTATTTTGTGAATTTATGTTGTAGGAATTTGGTATAAGTTTAGTTGAAGTAAACGTGCATGGAAATAATTTAAATATTTGACACTAAGTATTTGTAATGTTTGCGGTAGAATTCGTTGGTGGCGTTATAATATAATAGATAATTTAGAGGGTAAAAGTTTTTGGATATTTTATTATTTTTATATTTGGAAATGTTCATATTTGGAAAGGATATATACTTTTTTCGCGATAAGGTAATTTCATATATGTTCTTTTTACCGGGTTTAAAGATTCAGAAAATTGTCATGCATTTTCGTGAAATTTTTCTAATTTGTGAGAAAAAAGCAGTGACATGGATATAGTGAAGAGTGTGCGCAATGCCATTTTTGTGCAATTCTGGGATTTTTTTTTTAAGTAAAAATAAGTCGATGTGTACATGGTTTGGTTGATCTTTACAATATGGTAACTGGTAGTTTGGCGACATTTTGGAGGCGATAAAGGTTACTACCTGGGACTTTGGTAATAATGTGAGCAGTACTCAGTTCCGATTACGCATTATTTTGTGTGGGGAAAATGAGAGATCATGGGATATGTCATGTGATATTAATGGACGAATTTCGGTTCTTTAATCGGAAAAGGGGGGAATTTGGACAAGTATCTGTGGATGTATATTATTTTGTATTAAGCTTCATTGTGTGTTGTGTGAAGTAGGGTTGAATAATTTTGGGATTGTATGGCGCTGTCTAAAGTGAATTGTAGATGTGATAAAGAGAAATTTTTTTTTATGAAATTCTATCAAATTCGGAAAAAAATCGTTCAGTAATTTTATTGAATCCATAATAAAAGTGTATCCACCATGTAAGGAAGATTCGGAAGAATATTAGGTTAGTTAGACTTTGTTAAGAATGTGAGTAGTATTCAGTTCTGATTACGCATTATTTGTGTGTGTGAGGGAAATGAGATCATGGGATATGTGATATTAATGGACGAATTACTGTTCTTTAATCAGGAAAAAATCTGGCAATTTTGTATTTGGCTTTATTCTGTGTTGTGTGAAATAGTGTTTGTGAATTTTTGGATCCCATGGCCATAACTAAAGTGAATTCGAAATGGGTATTTAGTGGTATTGAAAAGGATAGTAATAAATGTTTTTTAAGGTTGTACAAGAGAGAAATAAAGATGTTTTATTATGTTATTTATTTTACCTGGTATCTTGCTTTGAAAGATAAGTATGAATTTAAAGATTCTGAAACAGAAGTAAGAAAAGTGTATCCGCCACGTAATCAAGATTCTGAAGAAGATTAGGTAAGTTAGTATTTTTAATTATTTGAGGATATTATTTTTATGCATTGTTGTAAATGTAAGGTGGAAAGGAATTTGGTATTATGGGAAAATTGGTTATTAGCAATGATTTAGTTTAAAGTAATTAGGATTGTAAGGTAATTTTTATTAATTTAATGTATATGCTCATTTATATTTTAAGTAGTTTTTGGAATTTAATTATTATATTTAATGAAATGATAGTTATTTGTGAATTTTATGTTTGTAGGAATTTGGTATACGTTTAAGTTGAAATAAACGTGCATGGAAAAAATTTAAATATTTGATATTAAGTATTTGTAATGCTTGAGGTATGAATTCGTTCGTGACGTGTATAATGTAATAGATGATTTAGAGGTAAAAGTTTTTGGATATTCTATTTATTTTATATGTGGAAATGTTCATATTTGTAAAGGGTAAATACTTTTTCGCGATTATGTAATTTCATATATGTTCTTTTTACCGGGTTTAAAGATTGAGAAAATTGTCATGTATTTTCGTGAAATTTTTTTAATTTATGAGAAAAAAGCAGTGTACATGGATATAGTGAAGAGTGTGCGCAATGCCATTCTTGTGCAATTCTGGGATTTTTTTTTTTTAAGTAAAAATAAGTCTACGTGTACATGGTTTAGTGATATTTTAATGAAATGATAGTTTTTGTGAATTTTATGCTTGTAGGAATTTGGTATACGTTTAAGTTGAAATAAACGTGCATGGAAATAATTTAAATATTTGATACTAAGTATTTGTAATGCTTGCGGTATGAATTCGTTGGTGACGTGTATAATGTAATAGATGATTTAGAGGTAAAAGTTTTTGGATATTTTATTTATTTTATATGTGGAAAGTTCATATTTGTAAAGGGTAAATACTTTTTCGCGATCAGGTAATTTCATATATGTTCTTTTTACCAGGTTTAAGATTGAGAAAATTGTCATGTATTTTCGTGAAATTTTTGTAATTTATGAGAAAAAAAGCAGTGTACAGGATATAGTGAAGAGTGTGCACAATGCCATTTTTGTGCAATTCTGGGATTTTTTTTAAGTAAAATAAGTCGGCGTGTACATGGTTTAATGTGTATGTGTTATTTTGAAAAATGCGTAAGGAGAATGGTATTGTGCAGTTTTCCTAATTTTGCAGTGAATATTTGTCATGATTAAGCAGTTTGTTTGATAAATTTCTAGCATAAGTGTAATAATTCGGCTAGTAGATTGTTGGAAGAAGTGTTCAGGAGATAAAAAGAAAAGAAACATGTCTTTACTTCGTGAAGACAAAATGGCGGCGGGGAAAAAAAATAGAGGGTTGCTGTAGGAGAGTTGGTCGCCAAAAAATCGCCAAGTTACCATAATGTAAAGATCAACTGAAATCTTTATTAATAATGTTTATTGTGATTTTAGCATAATAAAAGTAGAAATTGTGTTTAATAATTTCTAAAATATTCATATTTTATTTTGCAGCTGCATTGAAAGATATTATAAGTGCATTTTCCTTACCTGATAATGTCACAAGGTTGAATGAAGCAAAAGATAATGCAGGAAATGATATGCTAATGTATATGCAGTTAGTATTTCCTCTTGCAACTCAGATTCAACAGGAAGTTATCCAGAGTTATGGCTTTCCAGCAGATAGAGAAGGTTTAGTATAAATTAGGTTTTCTTGGATTTAAATAATTTTGTTAGTAAATCTTTACTTGAATAAAATTATTCTTGAATAAGTTACGAAAAACTTCCTTAAGAGTTGAATTTTGCCTTTCTCTTGAGTTGGATATGCTGACTAGTAAAATCTGCTGTCAGAACATTATGTAAGGTACAGAGAAGTTTATAAATTATTCTTAAATTTATTTTGCACATTATACATATACTATTATTAACAGTATTTATTTTTGTAGTGAAAGCAACTTCTGTATTTTTTTAAATGCTTAAAAATTTCCAAACTGTAGGTTTTTATGTGATAAACTATTAATTGTTGGTTTTTTAGCCCCTGAAAGTGACAAGCATTTTGTCTTAAAGTATTCTATAAAAATCTGGAAAGGATAAAAGTCATGGGATCTTCAGGATGTAAGGAAGTTCGCACACATACCAATAGAAAGTGCTGCACTAAAAATTGTGTTGGCCTTCTCTCGGTTGATCCTAAATAGTAACTAGGGTAAAATATCCAGGTTAAAAACTTTAAATTAATTATTGTATTACATTACAATAACATGCAGCATATGTAGTCTGTTATTTTTGTAATGGAAAATGGTTGTCTTTTATTTTCAGGTTTGATCTTCAGCAGCTGCTTTCAAATGGTTTTATTTTAAACTGTATTTTTGTTAACTGGTGATTTAATCATTAGACATCAATTAAAAATTACGTATTCTTTTCCAGTTCAGTTATATGCTCCATTCACATATTTGAATCTGAATAGAGACTAGGTTTATATACTTAGTGATAGGTTTTATATCTTAATCTAATAATCTACTCATCATTTGCCATAACTAATCTAATCAACCTTTCACACTCAATAATCTTTTCATTTATCTGGCTGCAAATCTGGCAGTCCTCTCTTATTATGTTTTGGTGGCCATTTTTATTTTATTTATATTCTTTTGTCTCTGTAAATCTCTCTTAAAACCCTTTGTTTGAGGAAAATATGATCACCATTGTTCTTTCTTTTGGTAGACTCTCTGTTTCTACAAGTAGGCAGATCCTCATACACAAACTGTCAAGCGTTTGTGGGGATCGGCTAAATGAAGAACTAAAATGGAACGCGGTACTGCAAGGCAAAATCTTGCGTCATATCTCTCAGAATTTATTGGGAGAAAGAAGCAAGCAGGAGGAATTATTTTTATTCCATTATAGAGACAATAGGCAAACAATTTTCACCTGAAATAAACACTAATTGACCTGAGCAATGCACCTTCTACCCTTTTTATAATTCAATTTATTTTTCTCATTATCTTACTATAAATTATTATTTGTTGTTATAGCATATTATTTGTTCTTATATTTTATGATATTACGAGCAGATAAAGGAAAAGTGCTGATGCTGTTTTAGTTCATAATCTATATTAATCTGCAGTTATAAGTTTCCCTAAATATCGATAGAAAGATTATCTCTTCGGAAAAAGTAGAGTTAAAAATATTGCGATTAAAAATGTAGAAGTTAGATGCTGTAAAATTGCAGTAGAAAACTTTAAAAAAAAAAAAAAAAAAATTGTTGCTTCTATGGGAAAAGGCTGACTTTTCAAAGGGTATGAGCCCTTCTTAATAAAATCTTCAGCAATTAACCCTCTGAGCACTATGACTAGCTTTATACGGTCAATGAGAGTTTTTTGTCATTTGGTATATATTAGTGTATAATTTGAGATATTTTGCTACTTTCTTTAATAAAATAAATGCCATCTTAATAAATGTAAGTTTATGAAAGTAGAGAATAAAGTAAGGAAATATACAAATTTTACTAATATGAGCTGTTTAAATACAGGTCTTCATGATGGATCCAAAAACGTATGCCGTTAAAGAGAGTTAAAGAGATCTTATCGCTTTTCATCTTCGTCCTCTACTTGTGTTTTATGTAATTTAGTAATATTTCAGCTTAATTAATTCAAACTAATTTATTTTACTTATATTTCTAAGTAGAGAAGAAAAGTACCATCACATGATCCAATTCAAGAAATAATACTGTATAAAAATTGGTAAAAAGCCCTAATTTAGGCTAAAACATCGAACATAAAAGTATAAAAAACTAATCAAACAACAGAAATAATGATAATCAAAAACACCACAAAGTAAAACTTGCAGATGATACTTTTAACTGTGTATGTTTCATGAATTGCTAAGAAATATGCACGGAGCCAAATTATATTCTCTCAGCGCATACATTGTTCAAATATTGGAATGTTTGACATCTGTTTTTCCAAAATACTTTCTGATAATGAGAGATATCTTCAGCTTTTGTGCATTCAGTAATGTTAATTGGATTAATTACAATCAAAATTTTAATTTGTTTTCAATCAATAATCACACAGATTCTGTCCTCATCAGTGGGCATGTAGTAAGAGTATTAAACAGTAGTATTTGGCCCACATTCAAATCTCAAATCTTAATGAACAGGTTTGTTACTTGAGAGTTGATGTGTTTTTTGCCATGTATAGTTGTGAATGCAAACCAGTTTCACTGAGGAAGTTCTTCATAAAGGAATTCCTCCCCTTAGGCAGATAGTCCTAAACTAATAACCTAAGATATGATGTGTATCTTGCAGCATCTTCTCAGAATTCAAGTCAGCCAGATTATATCTGGTAGGTCCATTAGTTTTAAAACATAAATCTTTATTATTGTGAAATTTTTACCTTTGCAATATAAAAAAGTTGCAAGATTAAAAATATTCCTCTTTTCAGTTTCATTTTCATAAACAGGAAATGGGTGTGCTCTGAACAAACGCCAGCTGTACTGTTTCACATATCACTTGCAATTTGTTTCACTTTGGTGATAATTTGTATCAACGACACATGCAATTGATTGCAGTATTTGTACTTATTTAACATTAGGAAAATTAAAAGAACAGTTTTTGTAAATAATATACATGTTGATGCCTTCTGCCAATGACAAATGCTGTTTGAAATTCTGTTAGAGCTTCTTTTCATAAGTAATGCATTTTGTGATTTCTTGTGCTAAATAACAGGCACCTCTTAAAATTCTGTAACTGTAATCAGACTAATATAAAACAATGCATTCAAAACCATGAATCTTGATATGAGGGTTTCTGTGAAATTTTAGAGGTACAACTTAAACTTGCCAAATCTTAGGTGCTCACCAGCAGCAAAGTTGCTGAACACTGGTAGTTTGGTCATGGGTTCAAATCTCAGTGAAAGTGTTAGCTGCATGGACTTTTTCATGGTTTTCCCCATGTGTAATGTGTATATGAGCCATTATTCCTTAAAAAGCCCTCCTCAAAGGCATCCATCCTCTTATGCAGATAGCCTTCGAGTGCTTTTCCATAATCAAATAAACCAAACCAATTCCAAATCTTAGGTGTGTTCAAAGTAGTTTCCTTGAACATCAGTGCACTTTTACAGGTGAATTTTTTGAAGATTAAATGCTTCAAACTATTCATTTTTTGGAATTGATGAAACGTGTTTTATCCCTTCATCAGTCTCCAATGAAATTATCCACATAAATTTTATTTTAGATTAAGAAATAACCGAAAGTCACACATAGCAAGATCAGGAGAATTGGTTTTATGATCTATTACTCTGATGTGTTTTAGTTCAAGAAATTCAGTCTTGCTGAATTAGAAAAGGCATTATCATGCTGAAGCAAGATACCATTATTGTTTACTTCATGAATAATTTTTGGAAGATACTTAGTGGTGTACCAGTTAGATCCATCTGTCTTCTATTCCTATAATTTGATAGCTTTGATCAGTCCTCTACTTCTGAAGAAAACATATATATTACTTTTTTCACTGCCCATCATCTTTTCACCACTGTTGGTTAGGGGGTCACATTCAAATATTGATACTTTATTTTCTTGATGTGTTGGAACATCAAAACAATAGTATGTATGTTTAATAATGTAATTCTTAACATTATTAAGTAATTTTAGGTTTTTTTTTTTTTTTTTTTTTTTTTTTTTTTTTTTTGTTTTACTGATTCTGAACATCAGTTTTTGGTGGTCTATTCATGTATCGGTAGAAGTTAATTTTTTCATATGCAATTCTTCCTGAATAATTTTATGCATAGCTGCAGATACAATATTAAGATCCTACTGTATTATTTGGTAGGTATTTGATTATCATCAATTAATATTTTTTGTATGGCCGACACATTCTGGGACTGTTGCTGTCAAAGGACTTCCACGTATGTTCTTCATCCAGGATAGAATTTCAGCGTGCTGTAAACTATCTGAATACAGTTGTATGAAATGGAGCTTCATTTTCATATGCTTATTGTAGATGTTGAAACCTTTTTTTTTTTTTTTTATTCAGCCCTACATTAAAATCTTAAATTACAGCATGGTAATGCCTCATGTCGGCTCTGTTTTTTCTTTTAAAAATTACTCCATGATAGATAAATTGAAATTATTGCCACAAATTATTGTCTGCAGACATAATTTCAAATTTTCATATATAATGAATAATTGTGTTTTAGCACATGTTGTTTGTCCCTGTTTAAAATATTTCAGAGTTACTTACATATCATGTGATTAAATGTATTTTGTGCTAATGGAGGGCTTAGAATATGTGCTCTAGTGAAATGTTCTACATACTTAAAATATTTTATAAATCTTGTCTGCCTTTTGAGTTCATTGTTTTTACAATCTTCCGAGTTAGTGTTCCTGTGTATACCAGATGCAATTTCCTGGTATGCAAGTTAAATAAAAGAGACAGTTTAAAAATTTTTCGGGGGGGGGATGCTGCCGCACATTTATGAATATGAAATTTAAAAAATCTTCTGTTTTAGAATCTGTTGGTAAAAAGTGACAAAAATATAGGAAATATGATTCTGAAAGAAAAAGATTTAATGATATTTTTGAAATGGTATTATTTTACAAATAGTGAAGATATATAAAGCTAAATTGTTATAATACTTAAAAAAAAAAACAAGAGGCAGGAAAAAATGACAGAACTATGAATATAGGGATGAAAAATAGGC